ACAGTAGTTTTATGTTTATCTTTTTATTAGCCACGCATTCTGACAAGCCGCATGCGACCCAAATGTAAATAGAGAAACTACATTTTTACAGAAATAATGTAGGTAGATCATTGCAGAGTAGTCTCATAGAGTCGACATTTTCAAAATGAGGGTCGACGGCACCTACGGAAGGTACATCTTTTAGGGCATATTCGACTAGTTTTCTTCCTTTCCCCCCAGTTTTGCACAAGATCTTGTCCACAAATTGTGAGTCGATATTTTAATTCAACTTCGAAGCATGCAAATAGGAAGATCAAGGCGTCGTATTTATCGCCATTGTCTTCATACAGTTTTTCGCCATCTTCCGTAGGATATAATGATATCAACTAGGTCTTTATCATACGTTTTTTTTTACGGGGGGGGAATGAATGCATTCCGCATACTCGCTTCCCTCAACACGAGGTCCACGAGTTATGTGCGACTCTCCCCTGCGGACTGACCCCCAGAATGGGGGCTAGTCAAAAAGCAGGGGCATACACATTAAAACCCACCGATGTCCCTTTCTACGTGAGCGATGCGCGGTAACGGTCCACAAGGGGCCCTTTACCGCTGCCATCGCTCCCGTTTCGGCCCATCACTTGCAGGGCAGCTCCCACCACTGGTAGGGGATAAGGCTCAGGAACATTTTAGTCCTAACCCCCAGACAGAGGTCTTCATCATCTTGCAACACCTCGGCAAATCATTTAACGTTTATCTTTAAAAATCACTCCTATAAAACTATTTACATTAAAAATAAAAAGCAGTGAATAATAAAATTAACCGAAATTTATATTAAAATGTCAATGCCCAGTGTCACCTGTAGGTGACACCAAACATTGCAAGTGTTGCAACAATAATATTATTAGTTATTTATATCCGTAAATTCATGTCAATTATAGGTTATATATTTCCATGCAGTAAGAGAATAACACCTTACTAACGGTCTGGAAAGTTTTATATAATTTTTTATGGCTCACTCAAGTTCAATTTCTTACCGATTGACTTCGTGATATTGAAAAGTGACGTATGATATCGACGACCGAATCGAACAAACGTGCAAGTGAAAAAAGTCAAATTTACAGGAAAAAATAAAAACGGTTTTATTTGATAGGAATTACGATATTATGAAAAACATTATAAGAAAAGCGGATATTTGCGAAAAACATTTTATTTTTATATTCTAGTACAACTGATGTCGAATGTTCCTGCAACAGCATTTAGCACGTTTATTCGTGTAAAAACTACAGAGCTGGATAAAGTTAAACCCATATTACCTTGTTTAAGGTATTGATTTTCTTTTTTCCGTATGATATATTTGCATATTATATGCACTTTACTGTGTGATCTATAGTAAGCTGTTGCACTTTTGTTGTTGTTTAAAGTTTTTTATATCCAGAATGTTTTAGTTTGTACGATAGTGTTTTGCTCTGAAATCACTATTGTACTTGTAAATAATAAGAAAATGCCTTGGAAAATGATCTTTTCTATGACAGAAATGTATGGAAGGAACTTAAAACTAATAAAAAATAAATAATGCGCAATAAAACTGAAAACTAAAATAATTCCATACTAATGAATTAATCTCAATCTTCAATACAACAATAACAAAAATTGTCCTCCCTTAAATCTCTAAACAAGTGTGTAGTCTAAGAACTTTACTGTCCCAACAACCCAGATGGTTGTAATGAGCTATATGCTCGGCCCATTGCCACTTTAAATTTTCAATTTACTTTGGTTTGTCTGCGAATCTCCTATTTCTGATTCGATCTCTCCGATAATATCCCTCTCTCTATTATGAGGCTCATAATTAGAAACTACTTCTCAGTGTCATAAGACATCACTGACGATACAGTGGGTAAAAACCTTTGTTTAGAGACACTACGGCACCACGGTATTCAAAATGACACGTCGGAATTTTCCGATCGCTGCCCAACCGAGTTAAATTCGACGAGCTCTTCCAAAGCCTCAGCCATGATTACGATATTATCGTCAAATCGAAGACCGACCGAGTCTTTTCCAGTACAAAAGCATAAGAACGTCTTCCGATGCAGCAGTAAAGAGCTTCGCCTATTTAACATCGTCTTGCCTGTCATCCAACTTCAAATTCTGATTACGGAGGCGAAGTGACATAGTGGCGTTTTCATATTCAACGTTTCGAAGTAACAATAGTCAATACAGTACCGCTCGCGTGACTGCATTGCCTAGGTCTCGATAGAAGCGTTTGTGGTCTAGAAAAAAGCAAAAAATTTCTAGTCCACAAATGCCAAACATAGTTGCAGTTTGTACTCCTCGATCATTTGGATTATTTGGCATGCAGTATGTATGTGGACTATGACGCTAAAGCCCTTACGGAAACCGACTTGCTCGGGAGGCTAGAGGTCGTCAAACCTAATTCAAGATTTTTTTCAATAAAACCATTCAGCTTGTATGCCGATCCTGATTTGCCCAGGTTAAGCACAGGTGTTCCACCGACATTCAGAAGCTCAGCCATCCTCACCCGGTGCCTAGTTGTTCTTAAGTTACTTAGAGCGACACTTATCTCATACAAGCTGATGACGCTGAAGTAATTTGGCTAATTGTCTCTTAGGACTTTGGCTAATTGATGCTGCTATCATGCGTTTCTAGCTTCGTCAGCTAACTCTGAATATAAAACACGCAATTGCTGTGGCTGAGTGACGCTTATGCCGGTTCCAATACTTATGTCACAACTTTTCTATTATATTATCTGGAGGCTGGATGTTGTGATACCATCCTTGATTCAGAATTCCACAATATTAGCTACTCAATATTGGGATCCAAGTAATTTATATGATGTTGTGTAATATTAGTTAAATTTAAATAGAAAGCAGTAACAATCACTACATATATTGAAAAATTATCCTGTCGGTGTGTTTTCGTCGGTTTGAATGAGGTTTAACACGATATTGTAGTAGGTACACTAGTAATTGTTTTTACTTACCCTCATTACTTAACCAGTTCGAACATTCTCCTATAACGAGTTGCTTGTAGTCAATTATTATTTAATTTAAGTATCAGCATTCATAAAGTAACCTGCATTCTCTTTACACATCATCACACAACTCAGACTCAGACATGTTTCAAATATGTAGTTACACTTTGTATAAAACATTGTTTTAAGTTCATGTTCATGTACGAAATGTAATTCATATAAGAAAACAGAAAATATCCGTTTTTAATACATAACGAAAATAATTGCTTAATTTATTTAGTACAATACGTTAATACACCATACGGTTCTAGATTCTAATATTCGGGTTACGAATCAAATGGATAATTTATACAACAAACATTAATGTTACTATGATTTTGAAAATATTTGCGTAATACGTAATGTAATGTGTTAGAAAAAGTGGTCCATTCGTTTCCTGCAAAAATTATATTTTGCTAGAGTCGCCATCTAGGTGCTTTTTTAGTGCTTTCGTTTTTTTTTCAAATACTTCATCATTGGTAAAACTTTAAAATTAGTTGTGGTAGAAAATAATAATAAAACTATTGTCACCTACAGGTGACACTGGTATTTAGCACTATTAAAAATAAATTGCGTATTATGGTCACCCTGTTCGATAATAATCTAATAAAGTTTGCTTCTAAAAATCTGCAGACGGAATATGTGTAACTTTAGTAAAATAAACTAAAAAATGCAACCTTTCAATGAACTACGAAAACGCCCTGTAATTGGTTGTCATCGCAACCAATAACGGGTTCAGTAGCGCTACCATGAGTTGCTATCGAAAATTCTCATTACGTTACCGCAGTCGCTAGCGAATAAACGCACTTCGAATAGTATTCGATAGAAGTTGTACCATGAGTCACATTTACGTTTACTATACTCGCTAACGTTAACTCGAACATTCGAATAGTTTTTGTTACGTGACCGTGTTTGCGCCTAACTTCACTCCAAATGAAACTGTCTCGTTCTAATTATGCTGAATAGAGTGAGAAAGGATGACTTTGGGCTAAAAACCGACTATTTAGATCTTCAAATTTAAAAAGTAGATGAAACCCTACTAATTTTAAGCGTCATTGATCATTCTCATAACGCGAAGTATAACTGATTATTGAATTGATTCGGTTATTTCCGTGTTGTGACAAATCATTGAGTATTTCTGTTTCTTGACTGGCGGTTGTTTTGGTAAATTGTGCATAATATCTAAACATTAAATGCGGAGTGGTGTATCACAAATACACTTATTGGTTGAAAGGAATGTACTTCAATACAATTCTATTATATTATTTAATACCTAGAATATACTTTGTACAGTAAAATGTAGTCCTCCAGTTTTTTTAGACGAAATATTTGTTTGAGTGTTCAGATAAAGTTAAGGAATGCTGAGTGCTCTTTATTTGGTTAAGGTAAATTTTAGCGGGACTTTAATAATATAATACATGGTTTTTTGTAATTTATCAAACATAAAAATTTTAAAATAGACGCAGTTTATGAAATTTTTGAAATAGAGTAAGAATATACAACCTAATCCAATGCTATCGATCTAACCCTGTTCATTTATTTAAACATTCATTTATTTATTTATGTTGTTATCCGTATCACGTATCCCTTTTTAATGTTTTAACAGAAATGGTGACCTTAGTAAACCAAAAAACTCCTTATTAAGCCTATATTATTTGATAAAATTATTCTCACTAATATTTCTCATATCCGCTTCAAATTTTCTCTTCTCGTCGTTTGTCTGTTTAGCGGCATGTGACGTCACACGTAAACAGCAAATATTGTAAACAGGAAGCTTTCATGTGAAAATAGTGTTATTAAAGTTACGCAAAATATGTGTTCATACATACAATTTGTAGCTCATTTTTATAAACAAAACCAGAGTAGATAATACAAAACAAAATTTAACTTCAATATTTCTTCTATGATACTATTTTACTTCATAAATAAATAGTTGATAAATAGGTTATATCGCCTTGACATATTTACCGGCGTCACAAATACCACGAGATTAGCAACAATACATAGAATAGCGTTTATTGCGCGATTTTGGCTATTTATGTATTTATAATGTAAATAACCATAATAACCATGAAGAGTTAATATTTTTAGTGTTACCTATTATATAAAAATCAAATAAAAACTAGAAATAAAAATAGAACCTACTTCAAACTTTAAAGAGTAATAGACAATACTTATTTATAAACCTACAGGAGACCTCCACCTGGGTTTTCCATTAAACATATTGATCTTTCATTCATTTCACTTTCATTTTACATGTAAAAAAATATTTATTTACTTGACATTGGCAGAATTGTGCGAAATGTGCAGATAAGCCATTAATTAAAAAAGAGAGTTAAAGAGACCTCCACCTGACTTTAATAGCATTTTCTTGAATAAGTCCCTTTTGAGATAAGTATTATTTATCACTTTTGAATGATAAAAGAAAAGATGGGAGGATGAAATAAAGGTAGCGGGAGCAACATGGAGTAGGAAGTCCATGGTCAAACATCTTTAGAAAACTAATTGCCAAAGAGCAATCACATTAAGGAGAAACATTTTTTAATGTTATATATTGTTTAGTATATAAGATAGTCTGAATGAACTTTAAAAAAAATATTTATTACTTTTTTTAAGTTTGAAGTTGAATCTGGTTTTTTTAAGTTTTTTCTATTCCACTTTTTTGCCTACTGTGTGGCCTGCATCTTTGGATGAACCATTATCTGTAACATCTCTAGTTTCTAGATATAATGTTGATATTTAATAATTGTTGCAATTTTTGATGTTGGTATTGTGGCACTATATTTTTTTATTATACCACAAATATATATTTCAATAATTATTATCGAGAAAATCTTACACCAGATTAAACACCACTGACAGTGGTCTCCAGTAAATTTAATAAAGCATTAAACATTTATAGTACTTTCCAAAACCTTACCAAAAACAGTCATAATATTTTCTACAATATCTTTATCATGATCCCAAGACAGAAGACCTGTTTGCAATTTGCTGCTCCATAATTCAGACTGACCTACTAGGTGCATGTTACTAGCTATTCCATCTGGTGATACCTCAATATGCAGCCATGTTCTTTCATCTAAAAATAAACATAATTGTTTGATTTTGCTCTTATCTGTCATAATTAAGAAAGAAGTCTTCTATATGTTAGATCAGCCCCACACCATAGTCAGTAAGGCCATATTCATCACCAAAGGTGACAAGATGGCAAAAAACAAGAGTCTACAAGAGTCATTCGGCAAGATCGTGATCCTCGGTATTTAGGATAAAAAATGTAAGGAAGAGGATAAAGTTCCATACCCACCTAGAAGTATTTTTCTAAAGTCATCCTTAAATGTAGGCTCCAAAGGTTCCATGACAGTACAAAATCTATCAATACGCTCAAGCTCATTAAAATAATTGCATAAATTTTCAATATGTGTTCTAAATGCATGAACTATTTCAGGTAACGAGCTGTATTCACATTCTTGTAAAGGAGAGTGTGGTAATGTAACTGAACTTATACATATTTTTTTAGGATTTTTATACTTTACAAAGACTTCATGTTCTCGGAGACTATCATCTATAAGAAGAACTTTTATATCCCTCATAGTTCTACCAAAAAATATAGGAATGTTTTCACAAACTATTAAGCGTTTAATATCTTCCAGAAACTCGGAGTCTAATAGATCACTCGTTATATTTTCGGTGGTTTTAACATTACTGTTAATCATGGTTTGAAGATGATCCATCAAATCTGCAGAGGAGCAATCCATACCGCTATTTAAAAAAATTTCAACTTCCTCGAATACGTTCACTTCACATTTAAACATTTTGAAAAGTAGTCAGCGATTGACCTAGATCTTAGGTGTAGGATAGTTTCAAAGTTTCAAAAGAATTATCTTCTCCTATAGTTGGACTTCTTTGCACGTTTGTAAAAACATTAGCTTTAATTGCCACTAATATCTAAAATGTTATTCATTTGTTTCACTTAAATTTAATTAACAATTTCATAAGATTTTAAAATTTTACGCAATCCTTTCATTTTAAAAATACCTGCCAATGTGTACCCCAATTTATAAAAGTTTTGTTTGGCAAAATAATAACACAACTGCGTAATAAAACTAAATTTGTTTTAAAATTTAAGGGAAATAATATATATGTTTAAATTTTAATAATTTATCGACTGAAAGACAATAATAATCGCGTACAATACATTATTTTATCAAACAAAATTTAAATGTGCACCACGGCCAGCTTTGCAGCTTGGCAAAAAAGCGTAGATATCAAGTGGAAATTAATAAAAGAGGAACTAATATTATATTCTTTATATGGCAACACCAAAGTAAGATGTCAAAATGGAAATTGAGTACCTACTTCTTCAAAGCAAACAAGACAAGTGATCACTATATTTTAAAATTAGGTTTAGCGGAATATTACACAGGAATAGTGTTATCATAGTCAGATAAACTTTACCATCGAGTTGCTGAAATGGCAGGTATTTATTAACTTTGACTTAGCGATTAACAAAAATTGCGCATTATAGATAACTATAATAATCTGTGTTAAAAACGGAAATATTCAACTTAGTACTTTTTAATTAATTTCAATACAGTTTAGAGGTTAAATATAACATTACGAAAACAAAAGCTTCGTATAGGGCGACTGCATAATTTTGATTGCAGCGTCGAACTCGTGAATATTTTCATTATATGATATTTACTTCTTATTTCAGGAAAGTCTATAACTACCGTGGGTGGCATAATGTATTGAAAATGAGGATAAGAATGACTGAATATTTGAAATAAAGAAAAAGACGGCCCAAAATGGAATTAAGACGCTTACTACGATGACTTACTTGTGCCATTCGTCAAAAAAATATTCTTCGTTTTCTAAAGTAAAAAACAATTTGAAATAAAGTTTTTCGCTAAGTTTTTAAGTATAATTTTTATTTGCTCAGCTTTAGTATTGGCGACTACGCAGATTGTGTCGAAATTTTTTTCATACACACAGATACTAAAGAGATTTCATTTTCAAAAGTTTCAAAGTACGGTGTTTGTTAGTTTCCGAAATATTTTTTTTTTAAATACGTAAAATATAACTTTAGAAGTTTTATGAATTTTGACAATGTTTTTGTTAGGCATTTCGATCTTAAATCGATTATTTAGATTAAAATAATCGATTTGGAATGCTACAACGATTCTTGAATCAATCCGTGAACCCTTCGAATCAGACCAATTTAATTCAAGAACTATCAATATAAAATTCCTAAATTGGCTACGATATTTTTAGTTTTTCAATATTTTGCTGTTGTCAGACGCATTGGTAATTTGAACGCATAAAATCAATATTTATGAACGCATTCGAATGACAGTATAGTATAGTTGTCACGACTGTCACTTTTACTACGGCCCGTAGAATCACCCATACTTAGCCCGTATATTATATATAACAGACTGCCTTATTGGTCTCCTACAATTCCTACATTACTTGCATTAAAGGTAAATTATCATCTATAATGCTCTATATTTATATATGGCATGTTTCATTGAAAAATTCGCGATTAATCGAGTATGGATCTTTTAATGCTCGATTTAATCGAGAATCAATTCTAGTATATTCGAATCAAATCAGAGATTCAATATTTTTTCAAGTGAATCCCTATCAAGTGAATGCCTAGTTTTTGTATTAAACTGACTAGACAAAGGAATTCATATGCATACATCCAAATAACGAGGTTATTTTTTTAAGAGATAAAATAATATCAAATTTGTTTTGGCCACGTGATAGGTTAGTCGCGAAATCCGAGGATATTTTTTTTAATAGATAAGAGTTTTTTGGTCTTCCTACTTTCGTATATCATAAACATTTTATCATCATCATCAGCCCTTTTACGTCCCCACTGCAGGAGCTCAGGCCTTCCTTATGGATGATTAAGGATTTTGATATTTTTTTCACGAGAAAATAAAACTTCAATATCTAGATCTAGATGATATAATAATAAAAAATATTTTGGGCGGCTAACCATTTAAAGGCACGCCTTGTTTTCTAGTTCAATTATTATGACATTTGGACCGTTCAACAAGACTAATGAAAATATATTTTTTATTTCAAAATACTTAAACAAGTGTATGTTTAATATCTTCTCTACTATTTTTGATAAAGATGATAGTATAGATATAGGTCCATAGTTATTGACACAGCCTCTGTCACCACTGTAATTTGAACTCATCTGCAGTTGAGATGTGTGTTAAGAGCGGAGTTAAAAATACGTAATAATTTTTAGAAAATTACCTGAAATATTATTGTTCTAGATAGTGTTATCCTTTCTAATTTTAATATAGTCTCACTAACTTCAGAATCGTTGGTGGAGGAGAGAAAGAACCAAAAAGGCTGTGAAGCTATTGTCATTATATTCGTAGGACGTGTGTTTTGCATTTTTTCTACTAAATTTCTTCTAATAAATACAAAAAAAATGATATTATCACTGAGTCATTAGAATTTGCGGGAGATATTAGATTTGATTTAAAGCAGGGTTAACATTTTTAGTTTGATTAGTGACCTGTTTTAGAGCATTCCACAACGCTTACTCCAAGTTGTATGACTGCCAACAAGGAACTTATTTTTCTGCATGCATTCAAGTTCCTTAGATGATGTTCATGCAAGTTCCTTGCTATGCATACGGTAGAGATGGACAAGCAAAGACCGACGAATCGATATTTTTATCCTTTACTAGATGACCCGTTGTACTTTGTACAGTGGCGTAGCTAGGTAACCTAGGGCCCTGGGGCAAATAAAAAAATGGGGCCCACTGCTATCAAAACTGGTAAGATTTTTTGATGTAAATTCATTAAATATACAAATACTTTGAAAATGCTAAGCAACTTTATCATCAGCTCTTGTTCGTGCATGGGCAGGTAATAAAACTATTAAACACTAACAACATAAATTACAATTATTTTAATATTTGGTGTAGGTATTGGGCAATAAAACGAAATAGAAAAGATTCAAGGGTTTATTTTATATTTATTTATTCATAGATACGTTGCATCAGCTTACTGTTATTTAACCTATCGTCATGCAAGCTATTTACAAAAATTATCAATAGAAATATTTTGTCCAGAAGTACTTGCAGAAGGCTGACTAAAAAACTTGTCAATTTTGGCCAATTTTTGATTACTTTCTTCTCTTTTTTGGCGTTGTTTGCGTTTCTTTTTCACTGGGTTTCTTTTTTTTTTTTGTCCATAATATTAGTTTTCTTATTTATTTATGCAATATTTATGTAATGTTGTACTCAAGTAGGTACTCCCTGTTCACTGACAATGTTACAAATAAAAGGAAAGCGAAACGTAATGATATGATACAAGAAATTCCCGGCAAACATTTTATCGCCGCCAGTGTTACCACATTTGACGGTTTAAAAAATGTCAAAAAAACATCACGTAATTAATAGACGGCCCCCTCCCTACCGCATTTGACTTGTAATTTTCACGGTATTTTGAGTTATAAAGTGAGTAGCCGAAATCTATAGATTTCTTTACGTAACTATGTATACGTACTATAATCAAATAAAATTGAACTGTTGTATCACAAAAACGCATATTGATAAATAATAATATGCAGACATTGATATCCAACAAATTGATGAAATTAATAACATTGTCAACCCACACAAATAATTTAGGGGAATTCCCTTTTTATAACTTTGGAATATTTCACAACTGAGTTGCCATGATTTAACTCGAGTTGTCACCTGTCATATTTATTTTGTAAATGGGAAAAATTTTCAAAAATTGAGTTCGATTGAGATTTTCTGATAAAGATTCGAGGGCCCCCTGAGCTTGAGGGCCCCGGGGCACTGCCCCACCTAGCCCCTTGGTAGCTACGCCACTGCCTTTGTATCACCTTTCACCGTTTAAATCTTCCCTGCACGCGTAGCATGACGAACGCGAGAACGTTTTGTCTACACTCAAATGTCACTTTTCTCGGGTGCACCCATACTATATCTCACTCTCGACCCGAGAAACTGACAAATGAGTGTAGACAAAGCGTTTCTCGAGTTTGTCATGCTACGCGTGCTGGCCTGTACATAGCCCAATTGACAATTCACTTTTTTTTATTTATAACGAACGAATAATCAAAAAACACCGTGTGAAATTCTTAAATATTTACATTTTTTTTTTTTTTTTTTTCCTTTATTATCAAGTAAACAAACATATACATAACAAACAATTTAAGATAACATCTAAAAACCACTGAGGTTTGATTTGTGTTATCAGAGTTTACATTTGTTTTTATTTTCGTAATTATAAAATCAGATGCAACATATTATTACAAATACGAACATTACAATCAATAGACAGTTACAATAATAGCCTTAAATTATTTACAATGTATTAAAAAAGTACCTCTTTAACTTGTATTTAATATTTTTCCTGGAAATGCTGTCTTTTAATTCTGACGGTAAGTCATTAATAAGTCGAGGCATAATGTAGGTAGTTGTTCGCTCACCGTAGGCATTGTTTGCTCGCGGCTCGCAAAGTTGTTTGTTAGCAATCGCCCGAGTATATACAGGATGTGCAACTGGGACCCTCAGATCATCATTAAAGAATTGTTCTTTGAGTAAAGTGTATTGTACCTGAATATGTATTGGTAGGGTTTGACAGTGTTTAAAGATACCATTTGCATTATTCTCATAAGTCTTTTTAATCTTTTTAGAAAGTATAGTTTTAAGTATTTTTAGTTTAAGATTATTAATATGATTAAGGTAAGATTTGTACGTCCGACCATAACTGCTGAGACCATACTGAATGTATGACTCTGCAAGTGAATTATATAAAATTAATTTGACTTTAAATGGAATACGATCTTTAAGAATAATAATGTTTGCTAAAAACTGTCTTAATTTAGTGCATACATGTTCAACATGATGAATCCAATTAAATTTACTGTCTATTATTAATCCTAGATATTTTTGTTTATCGACTGTATCCACTGGTGGACAATGGCATACATTACTATTGTGTAAGCAGTTGTGGTTGTGGATTACAAGTTTTTTAATTGGTACTTCTATGACATAAGGCGACTTTATTACTAACAGTTTAGTCTTGCTAGCATTTATGACCAGTCCTGCATCATGGCACCATTTTGTTAGCGCATTCAAATCAGACTGTAGCAGATCACAGGTCGTTTGTGGATGTTCACCGCCGATTACAAGGCATGTATCATCTGCAAACTGATAACACGAACTGTTCACAATACAGCTACTCATATCATTAACATATGTTAGAAAGTGCAAGGGTCCGAGTACCGAACCCTGCGCTGTGCCCTCCGTCACAGGTATGATATTACTAAAGTTATTATCTATTTTGACCGAAAAAGATCTGTTTTTTAAATAATTTTCGCACCAATTTAGTAGAGGCCCACGTACTCCACAATTATCAAGCTTGTTTATCAGTTGATCATGTAGCAAGGTGTTAAAGGCACACGAAAAATCTATAAATAAGGCCAGAACGTGTTTTTTTTTATTGAGATGGTAATTTACTTCATCTGTGAATTTAGATAAAAGACCTGCTGTGCTCTTATCTGATTGGAAACCAAACTGATTCTGGTAAATGACATTATGTTTTTTATAAAATCTGTGTATTTGTTCGCTTATACATTTTTCTACAATTTTGTCAATTGAGGAAAGCAAGGTTATTGGGCGATAATTAGCATAATCGTCCCGTTTCCCTTTTTTATAGACAGGTCTTACACATCCAACTTTCAGTGCATCGGGAAATATCCCAGTTCTAATACTACTATTAATTAAGTTGGCAATTGTTGGAGATATGTACTGCCCTATTAGTTTAATATCTGAAATCGTGATATTGTCGAGCCCCGGTGCTTTATTAGGTTTTAAGCTTTTAATTATTTTATATATGCTTTTAGCACTCGTCTTCTGAAATAAAATACTCGAATTGACAGGTTTAAAGTTACTATTTACATTTATTAATTTTACTTTACAGTTGGGGATTATATTTTTCACTCCTTTACTTAAAGTATCCGCAAAGTTATTAGCTATGGATTTAGGGTCGAGCCCCTGGGCACTAAATGCCTTTAGAATAGCTGCATCTATAGACTGAGTACATCGTCCCAAAAGTTCATTAACAATAGCGTAAACCTTTTTAGTGTTATGAAAATTATCATTAATTTCTTTCAAATAATATGTATTTCTTTTATTTTCAATAATTTTATGTACTTTATTGCGTAATTTATTATACTCTAATCTTAATTTAACATCGTTTGGCTGTTTTTTCCAGTTACAATACACCTTATTTCGTTTATCACAAAGCATTTTAATATTATTATCAACCCAAGGTGCACAAAATCCTCTTGAATACCTTTCAGTTATTTTAACAGTTTTAGTTTTTGTCGCCTTTACTTTTGCTTCATTAAATGTACTACTTATAAAGTTTAAAATTTCCTCGGAGGAGTGCATGCCTTCAGACTTTGACCATTCTACATTTTTTAGTAGTTTATACAACAAATCACGGTCAATTTTATTTTTTGTTACATGCTGTATACGCGCGGCCGATGTAAATGTGAAATCCATACATGAGAAAATAATACATCGATGATCGGCCAGTACAACATCGAGCGCCGCCGAGAACGGACTGAGCGTGGGAAACCGAGCAAAAATGTGGTCTATGCATGACATAGAAATTTTATTTTTTCTTTTTTCAATTCTTGTATAGTCGGTTATTCCACACATCAATCCGAGCTCACTGAGTGCTCCAACATATGCATCTTTGTGTGATGTTAAACTTTTTAAATCGATATTAATGTCACCAATAAGTAGGAAGTTTTTTTTCAAATCATAGCTGGAGATGTGCTCACTTAACTCGTTAACAAACAAGTTTTTGTTAGTGTCTGGTGGTCTATAAACTGTACAAACAACAGCGTTATGTGTCGAATTTAATTTAATTGTACCAGTGAGACTTTCGTATGTTATTGATGTATTTTGAATCGGAGTAAACTTTAAGTGATTTCGTACATAAATAATAATTCCCCCACCTTTTTTTTTATTACGCAATTTTGAAAACATATTATAGCCTGTTATTTTATATAAGTGAACGATATCATTTGAAATGCCAGCTTCCGTTAACACGATCATATCTAGTGGATAATTACAATTATGGATAATTTCCAGCAATTTGGGGAAGTTTTTTATTAATGACCCAATATTCAGATGCAGACAAGAAAGGCTTATAAAAGTTTTTGGAGGTAACTGTGTGAAAAATACATTTGGATTAAGACAGTTAAATATTTCGTTAATATGTGTACCCATTTTACTTAATGTATAAAACAAAATTAATAAAGAACAATCAAAGAGTATTAATGCATGGATGTGCCCGATTGATTATTATAACATTCAGTTGAGTTCCTTTTTAATATTTCATTGATGTCATTTTCGGATCGTATATAATATATTTTACTGTTGCTATTTTTTCGAGCATATACCTTACCGTTCTTACACCACACATACTGACACGACTTATTTAATAAATTGACTTTAGCATTATATAAGAGCGATTTTTGATACTTTGTCAAGGCTTCTCTTATAAAAATACGTTTGTCTGCCACATCCTTCAGCACATCTGGCACCACTTGTCCCACGGTTAGGTATTTGTCCTTACTAGCTTTAATCCACTGCTGTTGAAAAGTCTTCGACTTCATTTCGACGAGAATCGATCCTGGTTTCTCTTTGGACCCTGACAAGCGTTGCGTTGATTGTATATCCTTGTTATCAACATTAAGTTTAGCGGCAATAGTATTAAGTAATGAACTTAGCTCACTAGGTAACGACTCGGGTAGTCCGGCAACTTCTAGCGACGTTGAAAGAGATTTCTGTTCAAATTCTTTGAGCTCCTGTTCTAAAACGGTTACCCGCAGTTCCAAGTTTTTATTTTTGTATATATAAATAAAATTATCAAGTTATATTACTTTGAAGTTGGTCTTGCTAGAATAATGAGAAAGTATTTAAAAAAACATTAGTTCCCGAAATCAAACTAGATGTCGCTACGGTACGTTCTTGATTTCGCCATAAAAACCTTTCCAGTTTTCTTTCAAGTTTAAAAGTAAATTAGTTTTCAAAACTTAATAAACAACTCATAATTTATTTGTATTTTTCGTATTTGTATTGACATCTTAGTTTCGAACTTTTAAAATTTCAGTTTTTTTAATATGCTAAGACCCATATTACATCTCAACTGTGATTTTTGCGTGATTTTTCTCGGAAACTAAAATAAATTAACAATTTTGACTTGTTGAATAGTGAAGAATAACTCTTAGTATAGAAATAAGTGGCCTAACTTTTTGAAAATTTGGAAAAATGGGTCGGAAGGTATAATTGTATAAGAAAGTTAAAATATATATTTATATTAAGAAATGCAAATAAAACAAGGTACCTACTTCTTCTCTCAATATACTTATACTAGTACATAAAAATTGGAGTTCATATTTGTAATATTAAAATAACCGCTTTTCACTAAATACATTTGTGTGTATACACGGTACATATACAAAAATAATATTTTTTATCTGTCTGTCTGTTAGTTCTGGCTTATCTCTGAAACGGTTTGGCCGATTTGAAGGGACTTTCACTAGAAGTTGACTTATGTAATAAGGATTAACTTAGACTGGCTCGATGCAATTCGCCCGATATCAAATTTATAGGAGATCCGTATATCAAACAACTTTTCTAAATTCAATATCTCTTTAATTATGAAGTGTGTCTGTTTACGTTTTCGCGTGCATATGTACAATTAGTTTGCACGTTTGATCTGCGATTGTTAAAAATCAACTTTTGCTAGAGTCGCCATCTAGTGGAGGTGCTTTTTAGTGCTTTCGTTTTTTTAAATACCTCCTCCAGCGTGACGTTACGCTACCGAAAATGACCGTGAGGTCTCGGCTCAGTAGTATTCGTTCTTGAGCATCGCTGCATTTTACTACTCGATGAAGGGCACTAAAAATATTCTAATTTATTATTAATGTATTGTCCATATGTAATAAAAAACCCTAAAAAAACATTTTTAAATCGAAAACGAAAAAATCTTCACGTGTTTAATACATCTACTTATAAAGTCTCAATATATTTTGTAGGTCTTCAGCCTAACCACAAAATAGACCAAAAGAGGTACCCCTTACTACATATTGCTCATAGTTTCCGAATAAATAGAATAGTTTCGAAAGAAATGAATAGATTCGTCAACGTCAAGTCTAAGGCAGATAGACATGACGTTGACGAATCTATAAGATGCAAAATTTTATTTAGAATTCTAAGGTTTATCGTTTAATACAAGCTCATTTTCATTGATCGATAGGGCCCACATGCCGAGTAAAGAAGATTTCTGTTCTTATTTTCAATGGTCAGTCGTTGACTGTCATTGACTTATCGACTAGTTTCGACTACTTTAAATGACACGTAATGCCATCTAGTAACGGGGAGTTGATACATCGCGCAACTGCGCCCCGTAACAACACTTAATAAGATTAAAATAATTGAAAAAATGTAACAACTTTCAAAACAAAAACTTTAAACATAAAGGCATAAATAACAAAGAATTTACTTATAGAGATTGCCCAGAAGCCAATAAGGTTTTCGCTACAGCGCGTGCAACGTTCTAAAACATGAATACATTACTCTGGATATCCGGTTTTTTTAGAGATACATCATAATCAGCCCTTTTACGCTCCACGGCAGGGGTCAGGCTTTCCTTATGTATGTTAAAGAGGATGGGTCATGACCCTCCACGCTGGCCCAATGCGGATTGGAGGGTATTAACGACTGCAAATACAGCCGAGACCAACAACTTAACGTACCTTCCGAAGCACGGAGTAACTCGAGATAATAATTTTTTGGTCGCCCACCCCGTGACCGACCCTTGCCAAAGTTGCTTAACGACCACAATCGCAGACCCTAGGGCACTACGCCACCGAGCTACTTATATTTTTTATATACATAGTTTATATTTAAAAAAAAAAATATTTTGTCATAAACATTTATTATTGACGCCATAGGCGTTGCGTTAACAAGCAATTGAGCTCTTGACCTTAATCTATATAACAGCTACTTGTACTAAGTGTTAAAGAAAGCACCACACAATACCGCAAAGAACACTCTTGACAATATTATTTAGCAATATATCTAAATAACAAAATAAAATCACGCAGTACAATTTTCATAAATAATAAAACATAATTTATAAAAACTTGACAATTTATTTTCTTACCTAAAGCAAGATTTTAAATATATTTCATAAAAACATAATTGTCTATTCACATAATTGTCTATGCAAAATTTTATTTAGGTACTTTATACGCTTATCAGTTACTACCTAGTTGATTGCTATAATAATCTACACTACACAAAAAAGGATAGCCAACCATTTGATAATATTGAATCTTCAGCTTATCTTACATTTTAACCATAATTTTTTTGAATAGAGAATAGTGGCCTCACTTTCGAGTCAAGTACTAAAAATACTAGTTTTTGTCATTGTTTAATAAAACTATCAGTATAGCTTAAAAACTTCATCATAAACACCAAATATATATATACATATATATATAATTTAATAAATGTTATTACTACTGGGGTCTTACTAACTTTGTTTCAACTTTCACCATGTCATCACCTTTTACCAACTCAATTTTTAAAATAGAAAATACTTCAATTGTTTGTTTTATTTCTGGTAGATGATCTACTGGTTTCCACGTTAGTTCCATCTTTGAAAGTTTTGCGCCAGCTTCATTTTTGATGCACAAATATTCACCAGGGAAGTCCTAAAAAGGCATAAGAATATATTTTTATTTTTGTAATATATAACTTAGTGAAGAAAGGAACTGTGTTGTAAAAACCTACATTATTAAAGAAGATTCTTCTGTTTAGCCCCATGGGAACAACTATAGTGTCTATATATTTTTCTCTGACTTCAACTACCACTGCATCTGTCATGACAGGCGAATTCAATTCTATATACTTCAACATGTACAATTCTGTGGACATTTCACCTGCTTTTTTTGCATTGTATTTTTGCTTATTGCACTGTGCAGCTATCATACGCACTTTATCAACTTCCCAATCAGGTGCATCCCTAAACTTAATACTTGCTGCTAATAATCTGAAACAATTAAAGTTTAACTCATTTGAGAATCTTAAATTTTCCACAAAATATAACATTGTTTTACTTTTAACACTATTGGATGAATATTATTTTGCATATTTACCTATGAACCATAATATCAGCATATCGACGTATAGGACTTGTAAAATGTGTGTAAAGAGGTACATTTAGAGCATAATGTTGGAAATCATCATCATCACAACCATGAGCACAAAAGTATTTAGCTCTAGCCATTGGTTTTGCACACAGCATATTTAAAACCATTGCTCTACCCTTGTCCTCTGTTGTAACATACTGCATTAGTGAACTATGAAGATCTCCAGCAGATGATATTTCCAAATTTATGCCCATAGGCTGCAGCGATTTAACTAATTGTTTCAACATAAATCCACTAGGTGGGGGATGACATCTCAAAAATGCTAGTTTTGGGTAATCATCATAGATTTTTTTTGCTACTGTCATATTTGCTAATAACATAAACTCTTCAATTAGCTGATGGCTTTCTTTATTTTCATATAGCCAGAAAGATTCAGGTAAACCATTACTTGCATTCAGTTGAAAAGAAACTTTTGGTTGGTCAATTCTTAAAGCTCCACTGTCAAATCTTTGCTTACGGAATTTAGCAGCAATTTTTCCAAGAATTTTTATCACATCATAAATATTCTTATACTCAAATCCATTATATGTTTCTGGAAAAATTGTTTGTGCATTTTCTCTATCTTCAAGAATAGCTTGAGCATGATCATAAGCTAATTGACAACATGAATGTATTACAGTTTTTGAAAACCTTTGATTTAACACTTCAGCATCCTCACTTATTTCCCAAAAAACAGAGAAAGCTAATTTGTCAACTCCCGGAAATAAAGAGCACAACATGCAAAGGTCATCAGGCAGCATGTGATATGCTCTTTCAACCAAATAAATTGTTGTAGCTTTATCAGCTACTTTTTCATCTAGTAATGTATCTTCAGTCAAAAAATGGGCAACATCTGAAATATGAACCCCTATTTCATAATTGCCATTTTCCAATAGTCTGCATGAAACTGCATCATCAATATCTCTACAATTTGGAGGGTCAATACTAAAAACACACAATTTTCGACAGTCTTCTCTTTTCTTGATTTCATTTTCAGGAATAGAGTAATCAAGACGAGGATATAAATCTCTTACTTCAGATCCAAAAGGTGTAATATCTAGATCATTCTGAGCTAAAATTGCTCTGGTTTCTGTAATCATATCTCCGGACTGACCAATATTGCAAATTATTTTACCGATGGCAAATCTAACATCATACCAATCTTCAATTTTAGCTAAAAATAATGTATTTTCATACTTCTCAGAATCTTGATAAAAATTGTCAGGCCAACATGTAAATGGTATGTTAAGCCTAGGAATTCTATGATCCCTTGGTACAAATAATGCTTTTTGTCTATTTTTATCAGCCGTCAACTTCAAATTTCCGATACATGTGCGTGTGTGGATTTTTTCTTTGATATGAACTACTTTACCTTTTTTTTGTTTATTGTTATCAATATCATTATCACAATTTTCAATCAATTGTACTACCACTATATCCCCTTCTAGTGCTCTATTACGATTTTTTAATCCATCTATAAGAATATCTTGTTCACTACGATCATTATTTGAGACATATGAATGTTGAAATTGTTTTGGATTTATCCTCAACACTCCTTCAATAAGAGTATTGTTTCTAATACCAATGTCAACTTCATTTTCTGCTAAGTAATTGTCAAAGTTTTTGTCTTCAGAGGTTCCCTGTTTTTTTTTATTTTTCCTCTTATTCTTAGGTGAATTATGATATTTATCTTCTTGCCCAGTTTCAAACATACTTCTTGGTGGCACATATTTCAAGATATTATTATGATTTTGTAAAGAGAAACTCAATAATGGATGATGTATAGCATTTTGTATAAATTTTGGTGTGTTGGGTGCTGATTGCACAATAGGTGTACTGTTACTTGAAGACTGTGTATTGTAAGAAATACTGTGGTGCAATAATGGTGTATTTGGGACACTTGCTGAAACTGACATACTATGACGTAAAAATTGAAATTGTGGATGAAAGTTTAGGTTTTCTAAAAACCTTGAACTAGCAGCAGCATACATAGGCGTAATGCATTTCATGAAATATTCTTGGACTGGCATCATATCATTTAAAACATAATTAGAACTGGTATCCGTGTTGTGAGCTGTTTCTGGGACTTGAACACTATCCGCCGTTGGCATCGACAAACGCTTCAGCCTTTCCTTTTTCTTAGCATTTTTTCTTTTAGGAATTACCTGATTATCTCCTTGATCTACTTCATCTCTTTCATCACTTAAATTTAAATTTTGACACTGACTCGCAATTTCGTTATCAGCTACATTAGATTCTGTTTTATTACCCATATTATTTCCATCCTGTTTCTGTCTTGATGTTACAAAGTTTTTCGTAGGTTTCTTGGATGGTAGAACCTTACATGCTTTAGATTTACCGTTTACGCTTTTCGAACGCACCACTGGCTGCGACGTGGATACATGCGAAGTAGATGGCCCACTGGAGTCAACGTTTCTTTCAGATAAGCTATCATGTAAATTAGGCATTTTGAAGAAATTAAGGTTCACGATAACAGAATAAACTAGAAATTTTGTAAAATATTAATATGTTTGTATGATAATGTAGAAAAATAAATTCCAATTCGTTTGACAGATTGGGTATATCAGTGTTACCAATATAATAAACACACACTTAGGGCGTTTGTGCACTACACTGAATTTTCAGGTTCGGCAGTTCGATTTTATCCGTTCCGGAATGACAAAAACCCGGATCAGTAGCTTGTGCTATTTTATTACTAAATGAACTGTAATTTAAATACTATTTGATAAGTCGCGATTTGAATGTGGACTGACTTGAATGAAAGAAAAATGATGACTTTATAAAAATAAAATGTAATATGGGGAAGTAGGACGGTTGATCTGCAAGAATGGTGCCACAGGTGTGTGCAGTAGAGGCGGTGGCACCTCTTGATGACCTTTTTCATCAGCGATGGAATCGTCGCAGTTAATTAAGATACTACAAGTAATTTAGAACAAAGATGTTATAAGTACGAGAACATGATCAGTAATTTTTATGTCACGAATGTCATAGATATTTTTATTGTATGTGAATAATTATATTTCTTAATTATTAAGGGTATAAGTTTTTACAATCAATAGTAGTCATCCGATAGTAGTTAAAAAAAATGCTTTCGTCCTACCTCAATTTATTGTGATTTATGTAAAATGACCTTGTCAAGTACCTTTTACTTATAAGGGGATGAACCGAATATTTTTTCTGTCTTCTACGACTTCGCACATAGAGAGTAATAAAGCAAGCAATGAGGCAGTGTTGCCAGGTCATTTTTTTGTGTTACCCCAGACATTGTCTCGGTTTACCCTAGATTAAGCATATTTTTGAAAAAATACCCTAAACAAATTCCTATAAAACTCACCCACCCTTAGAGAGCTAGTTGACTTCCGGACTCACAACTCGCTTTTTATAGGCGATAAACATTGTTTTCTTGCATTGCAATTTCCAAGGAAAAGACAGTTGGAGTAAGTTGACACAAAAATTGTGAAAAAGTTTTAAATTATCTAACCGTCATAATGCCTTGTATGATAGTCTTTTAAGATCCGTAAGGTTGAATGTTGGTCCCTACTGTGGTGATGGAGACAACTGGCCAGGGAGACTAAAGGATAATTGTCTCCCTCCGAGCTAGGTGTTGTTAGCCCGGGGACCGCGGTCCAACCGATGTAGGTTGGACGTTCTATTTTATGTTAATTGGTAATGAAACTTATTCTGTGTGATGTAGGTTTCTTTGTTCTAAATGTCTTGTAGTATTAATTTATGATGTTCGTTTTTGGTACAGCGCCATCTCGTTACTTGGTGTTGAAACTTCTTGCAGTTCGTTTTGCTATCGATGGCTGTGATGATGCTTGTCTTCTCGCTATCGATTGTTGTGGCGATGTTACTGCGATGAATTAGATGTCGCTATGTATCAGTCGCCACAGTACTTTCCCCCTAGACCGAAGGTCGATCCATGTTGATAGTAGGTGGTATGCAGTCAGTGCTTCAGAGCTTGCAAGTGCCATGGTTGTGCTTCAGAGCTTGCAAGTGCCATGGTTGTGACGTCGGGACCGAAGCTGCTGGTGTGCAGGGCTGCCACGCCGGTGAGTTGTGTGTGAACTGAGGTCCGGTCGTGGGCTGCGAGGACCAGGTCGGGATGATGCCGTCGAGTGGTACCAAGAATCCAGGAAGCGTCATCGATGCTGCTGTGATGGACCTTGGTGTTGGCTGGCTTGCTGCTGAAGTGGCTGTGCTGGTGAGGGATGAGAGACTGATGATGAAGTGTGATGGCTGCGTTGTGATGCTGAAGGTTGCTGATGTTCTGCTGGGGTCACCACTTTGGAAACCGTAAGGTTATAGGTTGTGTGGGTCCCTAGTGTGGTGATGGTGACAACTGGCCAGGGAGACTAAAGGATAATTGTCTCCCTCCGAGCTAGGTATTGTTAGCCCGGGGACCGCGGTCCAACCGAAGTACGTTGGACGTTCTATTTTATGTTAATTGGTAATGAAACTTATTCTGTGTGATGTAGATTTCTTTGTTCTAAATGTCTTGTAGTATTAATTTATGTTGTTCGTTTTTGATACAGCGCCATCTCGTTACTTGGTGTTGAAACTTCTTGCAGTTCGTCTTGCTATCGATGGCTGTGACGATGCTTGTCTTCTCGCTATCGATTGTTGTGGCGATGTTACTGCGATGAATTAGATGTCGCTATGTATCAGTCGCCACAGTCTTAAGTCTTAGGCAATGATAGTCTTTATTTAAGTTTACTTTTACTATTGAATAAAGAAAGAAAGCCCTTTACTATTGAATAAAGAAAGAAAACTACAGATGCTTTGGGGCCGTTCATTAATCACATGACTTCTTTTTTTCAGCATTTTGAAACCCCCCCCCCCCTCTCTTGGTGATACATGGTAAGGTTTAAGACTATACCCCCTCCCTCTTCATCCAAATCATGTGTAACAAATCATGGACAACAAACATACCACAGAATATATACTCCAACAAACTCCAACCAAATTTAGGCTACAGACAACAGACACAATGGAAAAAAGACAGGTAAACAAATTGATATGCGTTCATCAATTACTACATTATTGTTGCGTTCAGAAGCACCAAACTGAGAGTTTTTATGTCTTTGACAGTTGATTAAATAATATGCTATTAAACGTTAAAGCTTTCAAGCTATTACCTGCAATTACCCTAAAAAATACCCGCAGAAAATAAATTACTCCAAAAAATACCCTCGAAGAATTCATACCCTGAAAATTACTCTGTAAGATCAATTTTACTCTAAATCTAGGGTAAATTACTCTAAGTTGGCATCACTGCAATGAGGAAGTATTTAAAAAATAAAAAGTAGTTCTTGAAATCTTACTAGATGTCACTCGCGATGTTTGGATTTTGCTTAGGATATTCATTCAAATTTTGTTTCTGACGTAATAAAAGTAAATTGAGTATCGAAAATTAATAAATATGACATCGTTTTGTGTTTCTTATAATATCTTACTCTCAAATTAATTTTAATTTATTTTAATCGTAAGTTTAAGTTATTTATTATGTTACATGTAAAGGAACGATGTTGGGTCCTATTGCTTACCAATTAGTGATGAGCCAACTTATTGGTTGCTCGTAACTTTCATCCGAATTCTGAGTGACATTTTGCATCCACAAAACGAATCATATTAATATAAATATCAAAATCAATTCAGTCTAGGCTGTTTCATATTACTTGTGAAAGTCGAAAACTTTACCAATGGTTCACAAAACTAAGGCGATCATAAATGAGGAAGTATTTAAAAAAATAAAGAAACCTATTGCTAACGTTTAAAGAAATAATCGATGGTTAATCGTCGATTAGGAAATAATAATCGAATGCAACTGATTATAAGAAAAATCAATTAATTGATTAATGGTAATCGATTCCGCACACCATTAATGTATACATTATTTGTATTGGCTCACCCAAGATTTGGCTGTATGGCTTAGTTCCTTCGCCTGTCCCATGGAAGAATTATAATACTACTACTATTTGTATTGGCTCGACAGTTTTGTCGATAATTTGCGTAGGCACTTAATTAAATAAATTGAGTTATTTATTTATCGCTTATGAATTTGCATAAAGTGCATCTGAGCCGTCAAGATAGAGAGGAGAAAACCTTTGAAAATCTAAATTGAGTTTACCTATGGTCATATGGTAATAACCTAAAAATTTCTTATTTATGAATTGAAAAAACATTGATTTGACTACTATTTTATCAAATAATTTATTTTTGGCTGTATTAATATTTCAGGTGTTACGTTAATAATGAAACTAATAACACACAATATGTTAACATCTAAATGTTTAAAAGGAGTTATGACTGGATATCCTTTAGCAATTAATGCCACAGATATAAAAATAACTGAAGTTGATTTTAACCCAGAATTTATTACTCGTGTTATACCTAAGCTGGATTGGGAGGTACTATGGGTGGCTGCAAACAGTATTGGACACAGTGAAGGATTACCCAAGACTATTGAACCTAAATTTGATGAAGATGAAGATTTTTTAAAAAAAGCCCACAGAGTATTACTAGAGGTTGAAATAGAAGAAGGCCACCTTACTTGCCCTGAATCGGGAAGACAGTTTCCTATTTCTAAAGGCATTCCAAACATGCTACTTACAGAAGCAGAAGTGCAATAAATTTATTAATCAAAAAGTTTTTTACTTTTGAAGTTTCTCTTCTTAGGTATTCAAGTTTTTGGTATATTGATTTAATTAACAAAGACATTGAAAATTATCACTTTTTATGCACAAATTTGATATCTTTAATAAAAATTACTTAAAAATTCTACCAGTCCACCCTGAGATCCAATATCCTGGGGCTGGTGGATTTTTTAATCATTTTTCATTAAAGACTTATCAATATAGAATTGTTAATGTAAAATTGAAAAAATAAACATAAATTTAAGTTGTTTTCAGCATCATCAACCAGATTGTTGATCAACAGCATATTAATGTGCTGGGGCTAAGGCCAACCAGGGCAAACAATTCACATTGTGCCCTTCCAACAACCGTAGTATGCTATATCACATGTGGATGACTAAGGCCATTTAAAGCAGGAAAACACACAGGGAATATGGAATATTTTTATTTTATTTTTCAATTATTTTTCATTTCAATTACTCAAATTGATTTTTCTAAGCATAATATACTTTTCTAATAGTTAACAAAATTGGCAAAATATATTATTGAATGGATATAAATGTTTGAAACAACGATATACTTTTTTGTTACATCCACTCTTTAACAGGTAGTAGTATATTTTGAATATACCACATTTATATTGCACTTTTTAACAAGTATTTTTTAGATGAAAACGAAATAATGTTGAAAATACTTTATTTTATAGCATTTTATAACTATTTTATTACAATCATAGGTATGTTCAACCCTTTTTTGAATCGGACATATTGACTTTACAATATCATATAGATACTGGAAAGCCAACACGTAGTAACCTGCAAAACCAAAATTGTTCTTCAGAGCAGAAAAACTATTATTTTTTCGATAAATAATTCTTATAAACGTCCATGGTAACAAATAAAGGGTTGCTTAGTCAATTTATACAGAAGTAAGATATTTTTTTGGGAAAAATATAAAGATTTCCCACTCTAAATATCCATTTTGGTTTTGCAGGTTACTACGTGTTTGCTTTCCAATTATATAATAATTTACACTTGTACAATTTTCGTTTAATATTTAATTGTACTATTAGTCTCAGAGGAAAATGTCGCTTTTGCAATTTATGACAAAGTGTGAGAATACTTCAATTTAAATTAGATCATCGCTATTTGGATCCAAGAAATAAAGGACAAAAAATTGATAAATAAAAGGTTTTATTTTTCAAAACAATAAATTACAAATACTAGTTATTTGAATGATGGAATATTCATAATAAAATCTTCAATAACAGCTACATAAAGTGGTCAACATTTATAACTCATCAGCATAAGGTACAAATGCAAGATTCCCAGCTGCACCCATAGACATTCTGGACTTTGAAGCATTGGCCAATACCTGTAAAAATATATTGAATTAATATATTTTTACAATTTTATTTAAATGAAAGTGCAAAAATAAAATAAAAATATACAGAACATACAAACACTCTAAACACAATTGAATGTCATCCAAATAAAAAGTATGTAATGCTTAATGCTGACGTACTCAAAGGGTAATAGGCTCGCACACCGATTTCAAGACATTGTCATCTCTGAGGTCCCAGTTTCGCTACCCGGTCGAATTACTATAGCAAATAAACTTTTCTATATTGTCTCGTGTCTGGGTGTTGTTACCGTTGTTTCAGATTTGCATAACACAAGTGTTTTTGATAGTACATTTGGGACCTGAGTAACATATATAATGTTGTCTTATAAATATTTTTTTATTATACTTTAAATGATACAGTTTACAGGAAAACAACTTTAAAAGGTTGTCGGTTCGAGTTCCATCTCAGAGTGCCAGGGATAAGTTAAAGAAGTACTACAAAGAATGTGTTCAATAAAGCAATTGAACTTCAAATCAACATTTGTCTTTAAACCTTATGCAGCAAAACAATGAAATGGTAAATTGAATTATTCAGCCCAATTACAAGATGGTAAAGGTTCAACCGAATAGTATTCGGTTATTCAGTGAAACTACTATTAGGCGCATCTCTAATAAAAATTTACTTTAACCTATCGAAAGATCGCAGTTGGCATTCAAGTTTGTTTCGTTTCATATTTCTGAACAGTTTTCATTACAACATAGACCATTAAGAAATTGTTTAGTTTTTACCTGGCAGACGGTACTGCTGTTGATTTGATCGATTTCTCTAGCGATGTCTGCTGGAGATTTGGCGACGCCCTTGTACAGACCCTGAGCGGCTAACGATTCTGCTAGGGATGTGCCGTCCTCACCCTCGCTTAGTACTTGCAATTTCAAATGGTTTTTACCAGCATTGATAGCCTCGGCGCTGAGATTGCCGCTTCTCAATAATTTAGCAACCGCAGACACGGCCTTTGGGGATAACAAAATAAATTAATGTATTTTCAGTTTTTATGGATAGACTAGCATCAACTACCCTAAGAGGCTAAAACACCAACACATCATTGAGCCTATCACTTTGAAATATGACATAGAAAATAAATAATGGAGAGATACTCGGTGGAATAGGGATGATGATGGTAAAAATAAAGAATTATTCAGTCTATCAGGCATAATAGAAAAATATTAGCCATTTCTTGTTAAATTAAAGCAAAAAAATCCGTATAACGGATTTTTTATCTTTATTTTTTTATAATACTTACAGTGCCAGCCTCGTCTTTGGGCACAGATAGGACGACGCCAAACAGGCCGGTATCAGAGTAGGAGACGTTGAATCCGGCCGCAGCGAACGGGCCAATGTTGCCAATCGCTCTAGCCAATGGGGAGTTGTCCGCACCCCACTTAGTTACAGGACCATTACCTAAAGCTGTAGTAAATGTACAAGGAAATTATATATTTATGTTATTAATATACAGCAAGAAATATTTTTGCAAATGAAATTAGATCAATCGAACCCAATTTAAAGTTTTTGGGTGATTCTATTAAACTACATAATTTGTATCTGATAAAATGCACGAACTTAATGTTTAATAAATTACTATGTAAACTTTTATCTTCTCTCCTCGAGATCAATAGAGATGACTAATGGGTAAAAAAAATAAACAAATTCTATTAAGTCCGTCAGTCAGACAATATAAAAATTTTGGATATATTTATTTTTTTTGCTTCAATTTAAACAAGAATGGCTTAGATAATAGGCATTAAAGTTGAAGAGTGGAGGCGCGCTACGTATTGTAGAAAATGTACAAAAGTGTGACGTAATGCGACATTAAAAATAGATATTTAATATTTTCCAATAATCTACCTGACGGACAAACAAACAAAAATTAGTCTTAATCCTTATTGCTGGGTTGGGTCAATGTATGAAATTGTCTCGAGATTGGATGTCGTAGTACCTTCGTTGTTTCAGACTTCCAGAATACATATGAGAATCTGAACAATGTATGCTATGTCATCTAATATTGATTACTCATTTAAGTCAAAATCTATAAATAATATGATTTAAACAATAAAGAATTATCTATCTATCTATTCTACATTTGAATGAAAGATGTTACCTTTGGCAGCGACGGCTAAAGCGAGTGCCTGCGGGGAGCCTGCCGGAGCCCCTTGAACTGCAAGTGCTACGTGAGCTAAGTCGCCACCCATTTCCTTTCTAATAAGAATTAATTTTAATAGATATTAATGTAATTACAAATCAAATATACAACTATTCTATATACAAGTTGCAAGTTCACTCAGGCTTTTTACAGCGACTGAATTAACTGTTGTTTGATGAGAGTATTATAATATTTAATTTTATGATTAGACCAAAGTTAAGACAGAAATTTCACTTGATAATTTTAGGTGCACTTAATGATTTAAGCCCCTTCAGTACATTATAAAAATCAATGTGTCATAATTTATTTGTTTCCTAAATAAAATTTCTTAAAAACGTTTACAAAAATCATCAGCAAACATTCTTAAATTTTACCTTATATCACCACCAAAGTAATTTGAAGGTGCATCTCCAGCATCACCAGATGAATTTAACTGAAGGGCATTAGCAACCAGACCAGCCCTTTCCTAAAAATATAAATATTACATAATAAATAACTCATTTTTATGATTATAATGAAATGATAGTACTTTTAACTGTGTATTTGTTCTGACCTGCAGAACAAATACACATTTAATAATAATGTGTTATTGGAACTACACATTACATGGTATTTTATACGAAAGCTGCCACTGCAATGAATATAGTACAACAGTACATTTCACAAAGTAACGTAATTCAAATTTATATTACAATCAACATACATTCATATTAATACATGTATATGAGAATGATATAAACCATTATTTTATAAGATAGTCAATAACTCACTTGTGTGTCACCCACAATAGTAATAGCACAGCGACCAGGAGTCAAGGTGCTAGAAGCATAGTGTTGCATTGTCTCCGATGAGACCTTTCCGATTCTTTTTGGCGATATATACAGTGAGTTGCCAAGTCCTCGACGATATGCCGCTTTGTGTAACAGATCAACAGCACGCACCTATAATATTATATACAAACATAAGTAATCAGTTTTATTGTCATACAAATAAATAAAATTGGAGTCTTTTATATATTGAAATAACATTTTTGTGTGTCTGTTTGTTCCATTTAATCTCTGAAACGGCTAGACCAATTTTGATGGGTCTTTCATTGGCGGATAGCTTGTGTTATAAGGAGTAACTTAGACCACTGAATTTTCTGTCACATTTAAGCAACAAAAGAGGCAATTAATTTTCTCAACCTGATAATTTCTTTTTACTAATACGATGACTAAAAGAAAATACCTGTGGTGGCAACGCAGCAAGGTCATATTTAAGACGAGGAGCATTGTCACTCAACTCCCAAGGACGAAACTCTTGGTTGGAAATCATTTTGTTCAACAGTTCTACGGCAGTTTGGAAATTATCTTGAGTAGCCTGAAAAATATGAATTCACTTTTAATAGATAACATATACAAATACTAATACATTCCTCTGAACAGAAAGAGGGTAATAGCATACAGTAACATATACGAGGGTGGATTGAAAAGTTCGCGGCCTAACACATAAATACTTAAACTATTTTAATGTAACTGACCTCATTCGATAAGTTTACTCTCTGGTTATCAAATTGTAAAATTCTATCACAATAGCATTAACTGTATTTAAATTAGACTGAATTTTGTGAGCCTTTGTGCAGCATTTTTAAAGAATGGAGAAAATTGAGCAACATGCCATCCTCAAATACCTGTTTAAAAAAAACTACAAAAGAGATTCACGAAGATACGTCAACGACATTAGGGGAATCTGCTCCTTCGTTACGACTGTGAAAAAGTGGGTTGCTGAATTTAAACGCGGACGAGAGAATATTGCAGATGACCCTCGCTCTGGCCGGCCTATGACGTCTAAGACTGAAGAAAACATCGGGAAAATCTGTAATATGATATTGACAGATCGGCACTATTGGCATCTCGTATGAACGAACACAAAACATCATAGTCAATGAACTTGGATTTTCTAAGGTTTCTGCTCGGTGGGTACCCAGATTGCTTTCAGTCGAACAAAAACGAATACGTCTCATGATTTCTCGCGACTGTTTGGAAATGTTTGAGGCTGATCCACAAGATTTTTTATCCAGATTTGTAACAATGGACGAATCTTTGGTACACCACTACACCCCAGAGTCAAAACAGCAATCCAAGCAGTGGAAAAAACGTGATGAACTGACTCCAAAAAAAGCCAAAACAATTTTGTCAGCTGGCAAGGTGAAGGCGTCAGTTTTTTGGGATGCTAAGGGTGTCATCATTGTGGACTACCTTGCAAAAGGTGAAACTATAAACTCGGCCTTTTACTGGACCCTCTTACGTCGCTTGCGTGGAACAATCAAAGAGAAAAGGCCAGGATTACTCAGCAAGAAAGTGTTGTTCCATCAGGATAATGGACGTGTTCACACGTCTGTTGAATCTATGGCTCAAATTCGTGATTGTGGCTTTGAATTACTGCCCCATCCCGCCTATTCCCCTGATTTGGCACCTTCAGACTTTCGTTTATTCCCAAACCTAAAAAACACCTTGGAGGTCAAAATTTTTTATCAAATTAGGAGGTTGAAGCTGCAGTGGGTGACTTTTTTGAAGGCCTTGAAGAAACTTTTTTTATGACCGGCATACAGGTGTTGGAAACCAGATGGAAGAAGTGCATAGAGTTAAGTGGATATTACGTGGGAAAATAAAATTACTTGTGCTTATATTTTTATATTGTTTTCTTGCTGATGCCGTGAACTTTTCAATCCACCCTTATATTATTATTATTATTATCAAAGACAGGCAGACAGTTGCAACAACTGATGTGGCCTGTATCCCGATATATTTTTTGCGTGATATTTCATTCTTCCTGTTGCATGAATTTGTCAAACCTTTTTTTAAATTGGTTTGTAGTCTGTGCTGAAACTACATCTGTCGGTAATCTGTTCCAAGCTTCTACCACTCTGTTACTAAAAAAGTGCTTATGTGGATTTATAGACGACGCCCTCTTTGTCAACTTTAGATGATGTCCTCTCAAGTGAGTGTTATGGAAATATTGAAATAACTGCTTGTCGAAATTTTTGATGTCGTAATGTCCATGCAGTATTTTATATACCTCTATCAAGTCTCCACGTTCTCTCCGTTCCTTTAATGTGGTGAGTTTTAGAGCTTTCAACCTTTCCTCATAAGGTTTATTCTTAAGTGTTTTAGGGAGTTTGGTAGTATCTAACCTTCCACTGAGACTAATAATTCTGTAATATTTGTTCCCTGGATTATTACCATGTATGTTGTTTTTGTTAAATTTATTTATTAAATTTTATTTTATTTAGTGTGTAAACAAAAGCTTACCTCAAGGGTGTAATAGACGAACTCACGATCTCCAGAAGCTGTAACCGAAGCACCAATCTGAGCTAGTTGTCGTGCAATAATGAAGCTACTGACATTTTTAGTGGTGAGGCCGGCAGCAGACCGCAACACATGGGCGACTCCCAGATCAGTTTGTGGTTCATACCGGGATCCTGCCCTAAAACAAGTTCCATTATCAAGGGTTACAAAATATTTAATTAGTTAAAAAGTTGTTCTTTTTAGCAATAAGCACATAAATAATAAAGCCTTTTATTCCAAACTTGCTACAACTTTGAAGATACAAATTTTCAGGGTTTGTTTAGTTATAGTATGTCTAGCAATTTGGTGTGCCTTCTGGCATAGGCCAAAAAGGTCCCAAGGTTAGGCAGATATCATCATTCCATCTTATTTTTGGATGCCCCTTTCTTCTAGTGTTCTCTCTTGGGTACCATAAAGTTACTTGTTTGCTCCATTTGTTTGATTTGCAACATAGCATGTGTCCTGTACAGCCCCACTTTAAATGATCTATATGTGTTATTATATCTGTAACTTTAGTTTTTCTTCTTATTTAAAAGTTTCTGATTTTATCACTGAGTCTGATTCCCAACATGCTTCTTTCCATTGCCCTTTGTGTACTAGCCAGTCTATCCCTTTGCTTGTTTGTAACGTCCATGACTCACAGCCATAAGTCATGCACGGGAGGATGCAGGTATTAAAAGTCTTTTTTCTTAATATGCATGCTTAAGTCTTTGTTCTTCATTATTTCTCTTAGAGACCAGTATTTTTTCCATCCGCAAGCTATTCTTTTATTAATTTCCGTAGAGTCCTCAGGGGATATAATTTGACATAGGTAAACATATTCTTTCACATATTCTAACTTTTTTCTGTACACCTCTATGTTGGCTTCTGAGAAGTTGGTCATCAGTTTTGTTTTGTCTGCATTCAATTCTAAACCTCTTCTTTTTCTCTACTTTTTTCCGCGAAGGTTTTTAGCATATGTCTTAGTTTTTGGGGTCTTCTTCTAACAGGACAATATCATCAGCGAACCTCAAATGGTTAAGGCGGCTACCATGGATGTTGATACCATAGTTTACCCAATCTAATCTTCTAAATACGTATTCCAGCACAGCATTGGACAGCTTGGGAGAAAGCGGATCTCTTCGTATGGGAAATGAGTCTGCTTTTGTTTCCAATTTTATGCGACTTTTGCATTTTTTGTAGATGGATTTAATTATTTGTATATTGGTCTCATCCACTCCTTGCTATTCTAGACTCAGCCAGAAAAAATTATGGTTTAGGCTGTCAAAAGCTTTGGAGTAGTCTATGAAGCAGATATATAAGGGTTTTTGATGTTCGTTATATTTTTCCAAGACTTGCTTGAATGTGTGGATGTGGTCTATTGTACTGATAAGCACATAATTGAAATCAAATTTTATGTAGGATACAAAGTACAACAAGTTTTAATTCAGTGCACAAAACTTACTTGAAAGCAATGGTTACACGAGTAACAGGAGAATCATTGTCGAGAGCAGCTACGAAAGTCTTGTTGGGCAGGACAGCAGATTGTACCCGAACTTCTTTCTTTACAGCTGGAGCAGCTTGAGCGTAACCCCGTGTCTGTATCCACAAAAAGACATAATTATCCTTTTACATAACAGGGGTTTGACAGATAAAAGGTAAAACTTCGATTTGGTATAATTTTATGAACATATAAATTTTACTTTAAAATAAAACGAATATTTACCGCTACATGGCGAATAAAAGGGTTAGTAAAAGCTTTTGAAGCCATTATCGATGAAGAATTATTAAACTCGATCAGTACTCTTGCGAAAAACACTACTCTAGCGAAGAGTAATCTGCTCAAAGACTATATGCTCTACTCACAGAGTAAAAAAAAGCATGGATTTTCTTTTAAATTTTTTCTCCTATAGTAGGCAAAGTAAAGCATGGAATTAGTACTTATAACTCCGAAAAATGAGGAAGTATTTAAAAAAAAACCGTTAGTTCCAGAAAACAAACTTGATGCTGCTACGGTACATTCTTGATTTCTCCATGACAACTTTTCCGGTTTTCTTTCATATTTAAAAGTAAATAAGTTTTCAAAACTCAATTTACAACTCATATTCTATTTGTAATTTTTCGTATTTGTATTGATATCTAAGTTTCGAACTTTTCAAATTTTAGTTTTTAATATATTAGTTAAAAGGAATGGAAATGACTGTCTTTGGTCCATTCGTTTCCTGCAAAAAACTTTTGCTAGAGTCGCCCTATAGAGGAGGTGCTTTTTTAGTGATTCCGTTTTTTTAAAGAAACTACAAAAATTTATGTCACTAGATGGCAGCACAAATTGTTGGATCTAAACGTCAATTTATGACGTTAAACCAAAGAGAATAGAATTGTCAGTGTTGTTATGGATCTGATAACTCGGATTAATATCAAGTTGAAATTTAATAAGTTCGAGTTATGCAAACGCAACTCTATTAATACAAAGTAAGATTTGAATAAATTTCTTTTTTGTTTGTATAGAAGAAAATTGAAACTAACATAAAATAGATAGATAGATAATTTTTTTATTTGCGTCATGCATACACAAAATTTACACAATGGAAGTGAGCACAGAGGTTTTCTTTTTAATTTATGGAAATCAATAGAATTATTTAATCCACTACGCCACCCAGCTACTCATATATCATCATACTTACCCGATATGTATCAAATATACTAGGTATTCTTAAAAAATAACATGACTTCTGGCTAAGATGACGTTTGTGCTAAGTGAAACGTGCAAATAACTTGTGCTTTTGAAATTAAGACTTTAAAAAACTAAAATCAGTTATTAAATCTTATATTCATAATTTAATCATCTTAATAAACATTCAGCAATCAACAAAAAATATCTGTTCTAAACGAAAAGCGAGGTTATAACTTTAAATTTCAAAATCACAAAGACACGTACAGTTATTATACTATCGCTACTGATCTTGTATGTCGACGGCGGACGTCAAGCCATGTGTTAAGTTAATTCGAACGTTGGGTATGTGCTTTTTGGTTCTTACAATAACACTGTTAATAATAGATTGACTTTCTTCTTAACCTACTCTAGAAATCAGTTTTATTAAAATATATTATTTACTAAGTTCCTAGAGTAGTCATGCTCTCTTAAAATCTCTGCGGTGGTGTCATGTGTGTGCGAAAACGGACAAAATAAGTAATCCAGTGCAGACTCACCCCCAATGGCAACACCCGTTGACGAGCTTGACGCTTGAGCCAACCCTCGCTTCGCTCAACTATGTTAGAAGGAACGTAACGACCCGAAGCCGTAGACAGAGAAAGCAATAGACTAATGGTATGTTCTATCTCATTCATCGGGAAATGAAATGACTTATTACAATTTTCATTAGTTAAAGTGAATAAAAACATTATTTGTTGTCCTTATCGATGTGGCCGGTTTTTTTGTTTGGCACCAGGCTTGTTTGGCATCAAAACGTCAAAATTTTAGGCATAGAAATTGTTGGACTCAAATAATATAGAAAAAAGTTGGAAAGAAGTGTGTTTAAACAATATTTTATATGATGTATAGAGTTTATAATTAAGAAACGTTACTTGCAAATTAAAATAATGGTTAAGTGCAGTGTTATATCTTGCAAAAATAGATCCGAAAGGAATATTGTACGTGTATCATATTTCAGGTAAGTTAGAAGCATTTTGTTTATATCTTCGTCAAGGTAAAATTTCTCAATGCCATAACCGATGTGAATTTTATTAAATACGACACATAACAAGCTAAAAATATTATTAAATAAGTTGAATAAGAATATAACCTCAAATCATTAAGGCTGACATCTAAGTGCTTAAAATCTCCCCTCAAAGTGCTTTAAAATTAAATTATCAATATTCTGTTAAACAAATATCAAAATGTTTGAAACTCAACTATTTTGTAAGTACATAGAACTACAATTTTTAAACTTTTGATTAAAATAAATCCAAGTTAACATAAAATATATTATCATTTAAAGCCTCTCAGTAAAGTTTTGCATGATTATATTAAAATACCGCTTAATTTACTGTAATGTGATGTTAAATTACATCTTCTAGACTTAATTGAATATGATTTCTGTATTTGGAATCACTAAAAAATGTGCTATGTATTTGGTTAGAAATGTTTGAGTTTATAGTAGATAATATAACTATTTTTATCAATAAATCTCGGCCAAATATGTTTTTTCTTCATAAAATATTGTTATTCCATATGACAATCATATTATTATCATAATGATGACCTCAATTTTCCAAATTAAAATATAAAATTAAAAAAAAAGTGTTATAGTAATTGTGTTTATATTTTAGATTTTCATCACATGAACATGAACTTCAAAATTGATTGATAAATGAAACTGAACTTCAAAATTGGATTGAAGCTTGCGGAAGACCAAATTGTAAGCCTTCAAGGCATGCCAGGGTGTGTTCAATGCATTTTGAAAAACATTAATTTTTAAATGTAGGAAGACAGACAACATTGAGTACATAATAAGGATTTTACTAAATAGATATAATAGTTAAATACTTATTATACAAGTAAGGTATTTATTACTTAACAAGTCCACTTTTTATAATACCTTCCTCAAATGGATATACACAATGTAACAATAAGAATGGTAAGTATAGAAAAGTCTGAAACTATAAGATATTGTATGTTAGTAGTAAGCAGTTAATACTTTGAAACACAATGCCTAAAATATATAAAATGCATTATCTTCATATCTTTTCAATTATTTTGTTGGTTTCATACAATATTAATTAACCGTGTAAAACCTTTTTAGTTTGAGAATCTAAACTGGATATTTTGAAAAATAAAATATACATAATTTATACTAGATACTGATAGTCTAAGTTTTAAACTTTTAATGTTATTATTAAAGAAGAATTGCCTTCATTAAAATTAATCCTATATCTCTATACTTGCTAGGAAATGTTAAATATTACTACGTCAGTTTAAATATTTGATTTGTTCTTGGAATTATAGTTTTTTTGCACTTGTTAAGTAATGTTTATTTACCATGCCATAATTATTCTTCATAAATATCATAACTTATTTGTGCCATAATCTAATCTTCAAGTATTATCTGTGCTATTCTTTTAGAAACACACTGATTATGATTTGTTTGTATCTTTATAATAAAGAAATGCTAGAAAATATATTGTGAAATAATATCGGCTATGTTTCTTTTTTTTTAACATTTCTTGTCTATGATTTAAGAGTATTGTAAGCTAACCAAAATATGTTTTTTTTTATTTTGTATTAAAATATAATAGTTACGTATCATATCATATATAATATTATAAAAATTAAAGGTTTTATTGTTTATTTTTTACATCGAATAGGCTCCGAAACCACTGGACCGATTATTATATTTGATTAATCTCAAACTACCAGGGACAAAGTGGTTTTTTAAGCATTTTTATTAAGATTACTGAACTGATTTTAAAAACTCTTTCACATACGGGTAGTACACCATACACAGTTGACATAGGCTATAGTTTACACAAACGAAGTCGCGTGAAAATAGCGAGTTTATAGATATTCTAGTTTGAGATAAGAAATCTTCTGGGACTGGTATTAGAATTCGAGTGAAGTATCTTGGTGGACTAACGACAACCGTCAAGTCTCTTTATGAAATCGACCAGGATAACGGATACAACGGCATTGGTGTACAAACGCACATACCTCGAAAACACTAATACGTGCTCTGCTAATACTGTCTTGAAGTAATGAAATCCAGAATCTGAGTAATTACTGATCAAAGTCAAAATAGGCTTACATATTTGTTTTCGAGCAATAATTATTAAGATTCTGGATATCTATTTATTAGTATTTCGTCACTAAATATGAGACTATTAATCAGATTCGATTGGATTAGTCAGAATGATAAAATACTTTGTGGTTACTAAGATCTACGAAATATCAACATGTGTCAATAGTTTCAACGTTTTATTTCATTCTAAATCATCGCCATCTTTTATTCATTTCATTTTCATTTTACATGTAAAAATTAATTTATTTACTTGACATTGGCAGAATTGTGCGAAATGCGCAGATAAGCCATTATTTAAAAAAGAAGAAGAAGACCTAAGGTTTTAAAAAATGGTCTTTCTAACAGCTATTGAGTAAACATACAGTGGCGCTGCTGGACTGACGTTAGCCCAACATCATCACAATGTTTCTTATTTGCCTTTCTAAACATAATTTTATCATTGAATAGGTACGTTATTCCCCTATAAACGGTTTTCTTTATTGTCTATATAATTTTTTTTTTAATTTTGGTTGAATTAAATTTTCAAAATAGTTTTGTTTGTCTAAATTAGACTTTTTTGTGCATATTCTAATTAAGTCAAACTTAATTTTATTTAGAAAACTTCAGTAACGAAGCCCATTGATTCAATGTGCTAGTTAATTTAAGATGATAGATAGTGTATCAATATTTCTACAATAAAAAAATGTTCCTCTATTACTAATTCTTTCATCCATGGGAAGTTACATCATACGTGGTTGACTACAGCTAAATTTGGTGAAATCGCAGAAAAGTAGATAGTTTCTGAACATTTCTACAAATTATGTTGACCAAATTATTCTTCCTTTGCTAATAACAAAATATCTCCCCATAATCGAGGAACATTTAACTACCTAGTAACACTGATGATTTATTTGTTGTCCCTTACGGTGGCACGCCTAATAGCCCTCTATAAGTACTTACTCTAAGCCCGAAGCACACGACACTACCACAGAGATTTTTAAGAAAGCGTGACTACTCTAGGTAGTTAAGAAATAATATATTGCAATAAAACTGATTTCTAGAGTGGGGTGAGTAGGAAGTCAATCTATTATTTACAATATTATTGTAAGAACCAAAAATAGCATATACCCACCGTACGAATTAACATAACACCTGGCTCGACGTCCGCCGTCGCCAAGTTTAAAAAAAATACTTAATTTCGAACGGACAACTTATTTGCACCTTGTACTTTGTACAAACGTCATTCTACCTAGAATATTTGATACATATCGGGTAAGTATATAAATAACAAACGAATTTTTTATTATTATTATAGTTTTTTATAACCTTTGTCGCTGATTAATTAACCCTATTCATTCATTCACCAAACATAATATATAATCATCATAGAGATTGGTGTAGTTTTGTTGCTGTAAATTCAACTAATAGCAACAAAACTAACTTACCTAGTTGTTATTGTTTTCAGAACTTTTGTTAAATATTATAATTAAAAATTCCTAAACCTATTATGGCATAAGTATTTTATTTATAAAACTATTTCACTGTAATATTATTGTATACCGTATCGAAATGCCAATTTTAATAAACTCACAGCAATAATTCTATTGATTTCCATAACTTTTAAAAACTTTTTCTATGCTCCCTTCCGTAATGTTAGTTTCCATTTTCCTTTATACAAATAAAAAAGAAATTTATTCAAAGATTAGTTCGTATTACTCGAGTTGCGTTTGCGTAACTGAAACTAATTGTATTTCAACTCGATATTAATCCGAGTTATCTGTTCCACAACAACACTGACAATGCAATTCTCTTTGGTTTAACGTCATGAATTGACATTTAGCTCCTACAATTTGTGCTGCCATCTAATGACATAATTTTTTTTAGTTTCTTTATTTTTTTTTAATACTTATTCATTCTAAAACAAAATGTTATTTAAAATAACATAGCTTAGTGACATTATAATGAGCTTGTGTAGTGAATATATATGACTCAAGTACGGTCAAGCTGTATGAGCTAAGATCCCTTTTCATTAAATGAAAATATTAAAGAGGGGCTGTATGGATGCTTCCAAAGCCGTTAAATTATTAAAAAAGAGAGGTTGTTATTTTTTTTGCTTTGGTTTGTAGTGTCGTATGCCGCCAAATTCTGTTTTGTTTTAGGGTATAAAAATGGTTTTCAATTAGTGACATATTAACGTGTATGTTTTCCACTAACGCGGTGTTTTTTCTTTTATTGTTATGTTAGTGGTTCTGAATTATTTTACTGTGCATGGGCTGTAACTGGTTGGTATCTTTTAAGAAATGTATGACGAAAACAGAGTAACCTATTTTATGTATCCTTTTGCATTTTGCGATAAGATTTCTAATGATTTAAGCGTCACATGGTTTTATTTAAAACCAAAGTAATTTTTAAATATAGATTTAGTGTTATTTAAAAGTACAAATGTATATTATCAGCACATACATGTAAGTACGTTACAAATTTTGATTAAACATTAATGTGTTTGCTTTACAGGTAATGTCCAATTTCTTACAGTCTGTTGACCATCTTGAAACAACTTGCGGTGAACTTTTAAAAAATTCATCTATTAATAAAAGAATAACGAATATTTCCAAATCTAAAGAAAATATTTTCCATCACAAGTACCGCAAAGACCTCAAAAAAAAGTTAAAAAAATACAGACTGCGTCCAGATGGTCAGGAAGATCCATTAGTTTTGGATGTATCTAGAATTTTACTGACATCATTGAGAATCAAGTCTCCAAACAGTAAAGAGCCAAGTCCAGTGGAATGTTCTTTTCAAAATGAATTAATACCAAAAAATTATCTATTTAAAATGGGAAGGCGGAAGCTAATTCTAAGTAAAAAGACTTCAGATGCTTCTAATCTTGCGATTGCAAATGATAAACTAGATAAAAATGTTAATGATATTTCTTCAATAAGTCAAGTAGTTAAAAAAATTGATGATTTAAAAAATGGCACTGAAACAGATAACAATATTGTAACCAAAAATAATAATGATTTATTATCAATTAAGGAGAATGATAAAAAACAAACTAATGCATTTAAGGTACTGATGGAATCCAGAAATAAAAGCATTGGTAGTAATTCACCAGGCAAGGAAAAAGTTCTTGAAGAATGCAAACCCCAAGAGTCTATTGAAAAGAGAAATGAAAAAGCTAAAAGAACACTGCTTTTGCAAAAAATGGCAGAAGCTAAAGGATCTATAAAAAAGAAGGAAATTGAAGAGTACCAAGATAAGGTCATTAAAAAGAAATTGGAGAAGAGAGCTGAAAGATTTAAAAGTTTAATTCTAAAATATGATTCAAAATCTACATCTGAAGTTAGAAAACAGGATGTTTTAGAAAAACTATCAGTGAAAGTTGATTCCCAGACAGATGCGGACAATAAAGCTTTTAAACATCACAAGATACAATTAGTTGATATATTCCAACAGTCTACAGAGGCTACAGAAAAATCCAAAATAAAATATGTTATTGATGAAGATGTTGAATTTTTAAAGAAATTATCACCATCATTGAAAAAACGTGAAAATATGCTGTGTTATTTTAAAAAAATTGAAAAGGATAATAATAATGAGAATGAAGATGAGAGTGTTGATAATGGATTAATCAAAGTAAAATTTACATCAAAGTTAAAAAAAAAGGCAAAGAAAAAGACAAAGTTAAGCTTAAATAAACAAGAACATGATGATTTAATAAATATGAATTGTACAACTAATTTTGTTGATATCAATCATGGTTTCACAGAGAAAAAAGAAAATGTGCTTTCTAAACAAAATAGTAACACAAGAGAAAATAATTGTATAAATATTAAAGATTCAGAAGTTGAGGTATCTAGACCACGAAGAAATATCAAGAGACCAGCTAAATATATTGATGAAGTTTTAACTTCTAGTTCTGATGAAGAACTACATATCTTCACTCCAAAGAAGAAAAAACACATTGATAATCAAAATGAGTTCAGAAGCAAAGTAAATAAAAACAAAATTGAAACAAATTTGTCTTTGGAAGTTAAAAAAGAATCTATAGAATTAGATACTATTAAATCTAAAAAAGTCAAAATTGATCGGCATAAGAAGCCAGCCAAACTGGCACCTATTTTTAATGCAAAACCACAATTGGATGCATCAGCACTTGAAGCTAAGCTAAAATTTTTGCATAGTGGTGTCCCAGATAAGTTGAAAAAAGTAGTTGAGAAGCAAAGTGTTAAAAATACTGAGTTTGAGATTTTTAATGCTGTAGTTCATGTACAACAAAAGAATCATGAACCCTTGTGTATATTTAATTTTGACAAAGTGGATTACACAAAAAACAATTCTGATGATGATCTTGTATGTGATGTGAAATTTGATGGTTTATATAAAAGCATTTTGAAACTTGAAAACCAACAGCCAAAAATTAACTATATGAATGTAGTTCCAACTGATATTGACATACAAAAAGTATTATTAGGCATGAAAAAATATTATCCCAAGTTTCCTGTATATCGTACATATAGATTGCTAAAAGACAAAAATAGAGGAGAATATAGAGATAACAGCTATCTTGATCATGATAACAGTGTTGAAATCATTAATGGTATGAGTGATGTAAATATTGAAAGTCCTGATAGATTAAATTGGACTGATAAATACAAACCAATGTCATCAAAAGAACTAATAGGTAATTTTGAAGCAACCAAAGAACTTAAAAAATGGTTGATATCATGGACTGAAAATGATATTAAAACTAAAAAGCATGACAATATTGATTCAGATTCATCTGATTTCTATTATTCAGATACTGATAGCAAAGATAGTGTCAAATTTACCAACAATCTTCTCATATTGAATGGACCAGTAGGCAGTGGTAAAACATCAATTGTTTATGCTGTTGCTACGGAATTAGCTATAAAAGTACTCGAAGTAAATGCTAGTAGTAAAAGAACAGGAAAAATCATGTTACAAGATCTACAAGAAGCAACTCAATCACACAAAGTTAACAGAGGAAAAACTAGTAGTCAAGAAAATTCCCAAAAATGTTCAGAAGTTATTGAAGTAAAGGTTTCAACAAAACATAAGAAGCGTGGCCGTCCAAAGAAGCCTTTTCAAAAATCTATGAAAAAGAAAGAGAGTGTTGTTAGCAATGACATGGCAAGTCAATCCCAATCCAGTCAGGATAATACTCGAACTTGCATGTCTCTTATCCTTATTGATGATGCTGATATAGTATTTGAGCAAGATGATGGGTTTTGTTCTGCAATTGTTCAGTTAGTTCATTGTTCTAAACGCCCAGTTATCTTAATAACTTCATCCACTTCATGTCTGCATTTACAAAGGTTCCTACAAACTGCAAAAAATATTAACATTCGACCCTTGCAACCTAAAATGTTAGGAATGTGGTTAGATATTATGTGCTTAGTAGAAAATAACAAGTGTTTGCCTGGTTTAGGAGCACAACTATTAGACTATTTTCATGGTGATATAAGGAAAAGTATTAATTACTTACAGTTTTACTTTCCAAAAGATAATTTGACCAATGATAATCTCATACCACAATGCAATGATTTAAAGTTTAATGTAGATGATGAAAATTCAAGCATGTCTTGGACAGATAGAGAAACTATTGAAGAAAAGAATGATGGTGCTAATTCAAATTACATCAAAATTACAAACATTTCTCAATGTCTATTGTATGAAAAAAATAAGTTATATGTTTTTGAATATCCTGTACAACTATTTAAGATATGGTGGAATGTGCCTAATTTAATAAATAACAATCTTCAAGAGCACAAGGCAGTCAAAGAAATTTCAAAACAATCTAATAAATCTCTAGAAATAGAAGCACTATCGAAGACACTAGATGCAATTTCTATATCAGATTATTGTAGAAAAAAACATTTTAATACTGACATAACAGATTCACCATGGCGCAGTTTAGAAAATGGTAGTGTTTCAGAACGGGAGACATTAGATAATTATAATAATAATGAAATTATTGCTGATGAAATCACACATGCACTTGTAACAGGCTCCATTGTGAATGCTCAAAAAGCGTTAGCTATAGACCACAATGGTAATTTGGAATTTCCTGGAATAAATGTTAGAAGGTTAGTGTTATTAAAATTTCGTTTTTCTTATTACGTATTTAATCTAAATAGTATTTCTTATACAAACTTTCAATATCATACCATCACATATATTTTATGATTTTTTGACATCTTTGTGCCAAACAGTTATATTTGTAACACTCCATCTTCCCATTAATGTGATCTTATGTAGGAAAGTATTAAAATTTTATTTCTATTTAATTTCAAAAAAGATTGATTTGAAGTAGTTCGAATTTTATTTCTATTTAATTTCAAAAAAGATTGATTTGAAGTAGTTCGAATTTCGTGTTAGATTTTGAAATGTGATGCCACAAATTTAGGACCTCTCCACAATTGTCACAATTCTTTTGACCTTCTTCCCCCTTGTGACATAATTTCACCTAACCATATTGTTATCTATAATTTGTTTGCCTTTTGTTTTCAGACATAGAGAGAAAACAACATCACGGCATAATAACTTGACAAACTTTATGAATTCATCTGCGGCTTTAGACCGAAGAGCACTCGCACTAGATTATTGGTCCGGTTACCGCACCATTTGTCGTGCGGAAAAATCGAAAACTGATACTAATACAAAAAGAAATAATCGTTATTGTCATTATCTTAAGTCTCTAAATGTTTTGTGTAATAATGATTATTTTGATAATCTTAGTAAAGGTCTCAGTTTACATAAAGAAGATGAGTTTAGTTAGTTGAAGCTAGTATTAATACTGACTTGTTAGCATAATGGAAACAATTTTTTTTAATTTATATTATTCACATTTTGCATTATGTTGATTTAGTGTAAATTTAATCTTTCGCTGTTACTTGGTTTCCTATAGAAAACCTTTAGTGTTTTATAGACAGAACTTCCTGAACTTCATATCATACTTTTACAATACAAGTCATATTATTTAGATTACGTTAATCTTAAGAATCGCAATTTCCTCTATCATCATTATTTTCATCTTGTACATATATATATTCTGTTTGATTACATGAAATGCTAATTATAATTAATTATATATTTTTTGTATTAAACCTTTGTTCTGATTTTTAGTTTGTTAATTTATTGCAAGAATTATCGAAAAAATTAATTAACATATAAATTAACCTTTATACAAAAGATAAATTAACATTTACTTTGTAATAACGCGGTAACTAGAGGTGAGGACATTTTATTAAAGCCAAAAATAATTTTGAAATAAGAGACACTAGATATATTTATTTTTAATGAAATCAGGCTTACTTATTGTGGAAATTATAATAGAAACAAGTAACAACAAAAGTTAACAATAACAATAGAAAACAACAAAAATATAAGAAAAATTGTGTGTGATCTCGACACAACCCAACTCAATAAATGTAATATTCAAACAGTGTTTTTCTGTTTACGGTACTGATTGTTAAACACAGTATTATGTCACCAAAATAGCCAAGCGCATTAGAAAATTGCTGGTAATATACTACAATAGTCTATGAAACAATGAGGTATATAGAAATAAAGCGAGCTTAAACATACATCCGCACGTTTGGTTACCATTATATGTAAAATGTCCAAAATCGACTTTCAACTGTAACATCAATGTATTAAGGTTTAAAATCAAGTGGAGAAATTTGAAGGTTTTGTATAACCTGAGGTGCTTTTGATTGTACTTTTAGCTGTTAGTGTTTCATTTAATACTGAAAAAAATTTTTGAACAGCAAATAACAGTTTTAAAATTAAATTATGAAATACCTGCGGACACGATAATTATAGTCCATTTTGACGTCATCGTTTCCAGTCAAAAATTCACATAAATGTACATAGTACCGCCATCTTGTGACATTTGTTTTATTAGTTTCTATTTTATATACATCTTCATTTAAGGACTTGCCGGGAAGTAAACTCGTACGAATTTAAGATGCCACTTGAGGGCCTATTCTGTTTGTCCTCCAATGAAAATTTATAAATTTTTGTATCGTTCTTCTAATTTTGTCATCATATTCAAGAAAATTTTCAGTGAAAACAGAAATAGAATTGGTCTTCAGGGTTATGTTTCTTCCTTTGAGTATTACCGTAATTATCAATTATATTATTTGATAGAAGCTATATTGTTTTTCTGTTATAGAAAAATACTTCCGGTCTCATCCATAATTTTTTGAGTTCGAAGATCACCTGGGACAAGGGAATTTTTAAAATAACATATGAGTAAACCTTACCTAAGCATGTGTGTATTTTACAGTCAGATTTTATGCGTATTTATCATCATTATCATTATCAGCCCTTTTACGTAACCACTGCAAGGGCTCAGCCCTTCCTTATGATTGGTTAAGGAGGATGGGCCATGACCCTTTACGCTGGCCCTATGCGGATTGGAGGGTATTTACGTCTGCAAATGCAGCCGGGACCAACGGTTTAACGTGCTTTCAGAAGCACGGAGTAGCTCGAGATAATAATTTTTGGTCATCCATCCCGTGAGTGACCCTTGCGAAAGTTGCTTACCGACAACGATCGTGGGCCGCGGCGCTTATTCACTACGCCACCGAGCTACTGCTACGGCACCGAGCTACAGATTTTATGCGTATTCATCATGTATTCATACACAAATGGAATTAGTAAAAATCCGTAAGCAAATAAACATAACTAAATAAAAAAGCGCTTAAGCACAATCTACTACTACAATAATAAATGGAAAAATCATATCAAGTGTGAAAGAAATGACATTACATATACATTGTAAGTTTATGGGATACGAAATGTCCAAATTATAACATAGTTTAGATGCGGCTGTATATAATTTTTATGATTTTAAAATGATGTAATTTTTTTTTATTGTTTTATTTACCGCAATAACCGCAGTTTATCTACTGAGAAAAGTTTAAAATAGATAAGCAATCTTAAGTCACCGAAAATAATGATATTTATAAAAATCTCTACGGAAGATAAATATATTACATGTAGTTAAAAATAGTCTCCTCGGAGTGCGTTCTGACACTTTAATCATGTGGTAACTTTACTCTGTGGGTAAATAATATATTGATAATTGATGTATTGTTGGATTACGATATGTTTAATATTATTTATATAGGCATTTAATCAAACATTGGTTTATTTTAGGCTTAAAAAAATTTCAATTCAAAGGTGAAAATTTCTTTTTTGCTCAACCTATACGATATTAAAATGATATTTGGTGTAGACTAGACGAAGCTTTTCTCGAGTTTGTCTTCGTGTGCGGGCAGGTTGGGGGCGCTTCTGTGCCAAACAACGGTTTAGCCTTAAAGAAATATCTCTCAATCCAGTAGGCAAATAGTTATGTACAATCAACAACACGTCAAACTATACAAAACTCAAATTTTCCCAGTCAATTTTAAACCTTAATATATTGAGGGTTGGGGTCAAAATCCATAGAATCGTAGAAATGTGATTTGATAAGTTTGATATGCTTTTGACACTATCCCTGTTACCTGGTAAGCAACAGGGTAAGCAACGGGTGTGGGACTCTCCTCCGTGAACCCACTAAGCTGCCCAGTGAGCCCCGGAGGCCTACCTCCCAAAACCCTTAGGGTTCACCCTCTCGTGGGAGATGAGACTTGGGCCGTGACTGAGTTACAAGGACTAACCACCCATATTCGACCGTTAGTCCCCTCGCGGATGGATATGCACGGGTATATCGAAAGCCTCTCCCAGATAGGCGAAACCGTGCAATGCAGGGGTGGCTGCCAATCACCTCCGCTGGCTCCGACATATAAGAGGGTTGCGTCAATACGCGATCCCTCTCCTATTTCTATACACTCCTATATACTGACTTGTCTGAACTTCATCGCAGGTCTTTGCTCCCGCTGCCATGGGATCAGTCCCTTACGTCACAGTCAGGAAACAGACGTGTACAAGGCGAAATTCAGCCGTTTTTTTTGTGAGAGCGTATGATTTAAGATATGACCTTCTCGGAACAAAAATGCAACGGAAAGTTTTTCTTGACGTCTTTTTAGTATCGTAAGGAATAATCATATATTGTGACCTGAGATAAAATAAAAAGTTGAAAATTTGTAGAGTAGTTTATTAAATCGATAAAGAGTTATTAAAAGTGAGTCGTTCGCGCGTAGAGGACCCCGAGGTAGGTAAAAATCGAGTCCTACCTTTACGATTTCCCGGTATCTAAATGTAGGTCAAACATTACATCCATTTCAAAAAAAAAGACCAATTTTCATCAATTTATTAAATAACATCAAATGATTATTTCAATTCTACTATAATTTGGGAAAAAATTGGATTCTCAACAAGTTCTTGTCACACATAGATAACATATATTGACGATAATATACCCACCCTATAATAGGCAGAAATATATAAAAAAAAGGCAGAATATTTATAGGCACTAATAAAATTTAAAGTTGAAAGGTAAGAAAGTCTACACATTTATAATTCTCCTTTTTAACTAAATCTTATATTTTATTTCGTACATTAAACGTTAACTTAACTTCGGTAGGATCAGCGCTTCTAAGAGACCACTGGAATATATTTGAAATAATACAAAAAACATTATACGTAAATATTATGTTAGATTACGTAACCTAATCTTAGAAATATTAATCTTAGATTGATCCGATGATTTCGTTTTCATTCTTTTTGTAGGTACTCTTCTTTTGACCAGTAATTTCGGACCAAGTGATTTCTTATGGGTTCTATTTTTACATTGAAGTAAAAACATACACTTAAGTGTAATGTAGAAAACTGTGTCCCTATATGTTTTAGTTATTTATTTGATTAAATATGTTTATAAAATATATATATATAAATTCTGTTTATTTTATTATGATTATGGATTTAATACCTCTTTATTTATTTACACGTCACACACCAACAGACCCTGCAAGAATATTAGCGTTGTTGCGATCTATTTAGTACCTAACGACTAAGGTATGCTGGGACAGGGTCCTGTTACTTATTTATTTATTTTCTTCTCCATTTATTGATACGTAATGTTTATGTTTATTTTTTATGTATTATTGTGTATGTATGTATTATATTATTGTATGTATTATTGTCTTGAGTTTTGTTGTTCAACAAATAAGTTTCTTTCTTTCTTTCTAAAATGGGTCCAGTAGTTTCGGAACCTCTTCTATGTTAACAAACAAACGATCAAAACTTTCCTCTTTTTAAAAGGCGGAATATTTGTGCGTTTTGAAGATAAACCAAAGTCTCCTCTTTTTAATATTAGTATAGATATTTGTCTATAGGTGACTAGTGGACCTGATAGACGGCGGAATGCCGCATATATACTTCTTGGTTCCGCCTAACAGTCAATGAATGAGCAAAACGATTTAGCTTGGGGATAATGGGATAGCACAGACAACATTGTTGGAAGTTTGTGCAACCGGCTGTCAGTGCCAGGGACAAAGTGCCTTTTATGACAAATCACTAACAAATGACATATTTTTTTAGTTTTATTCTTGATTGAAGGTCTTTTATAATAAAATAACACAAATATAAAAATAGGTCCAGTCGTTCTCGAGTTATAGGTAAATGGCGTATCGAACACGACTTTCTTTTACATGTGATATCTTATTGAATATATTGGTGTTATCCTTTTTTGATAAAAAGGAAGGTAGATATCATTATGGATATCGTCGGCCACGACAATTACGGTGTTTTTAAAGAAACGGTAAACGGCTTTATGGTGACCTCTGTGGCGTAGTAGTGGAAGTCTACGATGCGAAGATTAAGCGACTT